CAGTCCGTTCTTATTTTAAGTTAGTTATTTACCTATTTACCTGGGTGTTAGATGATGAAATGAGTCTTATCTCATTCTAACTCATGATTTATTCTCATCATTTTTTCATTTATTAATAAATGTATACATTTGCTATAAAATACCTACCAACTCAACACCACCAGGATAAACAGAACTTTCACAGTAACCCACACCCCAAAACATATCTCCCCCATTCTGCTCCCTAGGCCCCTCCCCTCAAAGTTTACCACACTCACGAATCCAGTATTTGGCCTTTTCCTTGCTTAAAAATAATTGTACCTTGGCAGGTATCCGTAGCTTAGTGAGTAAGGGCACCAGCCACATATACCAAGGCTGGCAGGTTCAAGCCCATCCAGGCCTGCTAAAAAACAACAATGACAACTCCAACTGAAAAAGACAAAATAGCCAGGTATGTGGCGGGCACCTATAGTCCCAGCTACTTGAGAGGCTGGGACAAGAGAATTGCTTAAGCCCAAGAGTTTGAGGTTGCTGTGAGCTGTGATGCCATGGTACTCTATCAAGGGTGACATAATGAGACTCTGTCTCAAAAAAAAAGTAAAAATAATTGTACCTCAAAAAGAATGCCATTTCATTTTAGCTACTAGAACTTCATCAAGAGGATATGGGAGCTTCTCCACTTGATATTCTATCACTAGTTTGGCCTGTGTTGTTTGACTGTGGTTGGAGAATGTGACTGCTAACTAATAAGCCATTTGGTGAATTTCCCACAGTGCATTTCCCCATTCTCTCAGGGATGGACATTTGTGTTGTTTCTGGGGTTTTGCATTTCATAGTACAGTGATGAACATTCTGGGGCACGTTTCCTGTGGCAGTGAGCAAGAGCTTCTTGTGAACTTTGTATATGGGAGAGCAAAGGCCATGTTATGTGGCACATGAATGTTCAGTGCTGTGGTTAATGTCAGTTTGCTTTCCAAAGAGGGTGCAGTGTAGAAGAATCTTGTATGTCCACAGCCTCTGGCACATGTTATTGTTGGACATTTTTAATTTGGGGGCAACAGAAGGGAGGATAAAATAGGTCTCACTATGACCTTATATACATTTCATTGATTCCTAATGAAACTGGACATCTTTTTATGTACTTGTCAGCCACCTATGTTTTGTCTTTTGTAATGTGTCTTTTCATGCCTTTTGCACATTTTCCTTTTGAGTGGTTGTCTTTTTAAAAGATGATATCACAAGGGCTGGGCATAGTGGCTCATGCCTATAATCCCAGCACTTTGGGAGGCTGAGGCAGGTGGACTACCTGAGCTCACAGGTTTGAGACCAGGCTGAGCAAGAATGAGACCCCATCTCTAAAAAATAGCTGGGCATTGTGGCAGGAGCCTGTAGTACCAGCTACTTGGGAGGCTGAGGCAGGAGAATTGCTTAAGCCCAAGAGTTTGAGGTTGCTATGAGCTATGACGCCATGGCACTCTACTGAGGGCGACAAAGGGAGACTTTGTCTCAAAATAAATAAATAATGATATCACATTCCATCAGAAAGCATTATTTATAGTATGCATTCTCAACAGGGGCAAAAGTTGGTCCTTGAGAGGTGACAAAAAAATTCTTACTCTTAATATACAAAACACAAATGTATGTATAGTATATGAATAAACACACAGTATATCTGTGGCATTACATTTTCATGCAGAGTGGTTAGGAAAAAATGTCTAAAAGTACCTCGAGGGGCAATAATGGTAAAAGAAAAAGACCTTCTATATCATGAGCATACGGTAATGAACATTTGGGGGCATATATACTTTTTCATAAGTTTAGAATGGACTCCCAGAAGTTAGACCATAAGGTCTGAACTTGTCTTAGGCCTGTTTCATCCATGCCGAACTGCTTTCCTAAGTCATGTACACATTCACCTCCAAGCAATTATGAAAATGCCAGTTTCACCACATCCTCACCAGCACCAAGTTTTATCAATTTAAAAATCTTTACTGTCTTTTAATGATTGCAAAACATGGAATGTTCTTATTGTTTGGTTACTTTTCTTTTGTCCCAGGAAGGCTAAACCTTTTAAATATGCTAATCAGTCTGTCTCTTGGGAATGTTCTAGAGCAGAAAAATGGCAAGTAAATACATAAAGAGGAAAGAAGATCCTTGTTATATATGGGCAGAAACATAGCAGAGTTGTATCCTATAGTTATGTGGAAAGCAGAATTTTATAACCAATTAACTTGGACATTTAAACAAGATGAACTTCCAGCAAAGTGTTGAAAGTGCAGCCTGGTTTTCTTCTTGCTGCTTATTATAAAATGTGAGAGGAAACAGACAGATTGAGAGAAGAAATATTAAGCAAAAAGGAACCATGACTTGATGATGTGAAAAATTCTTTTTTTACAATAATATTCATAGTACTTTTATTCATAATAGGTAAAAACTGTAAATAAACTTTTTTTTGAGACAGTCTCACTGTGTCACCCTCAGTAGAGTGCTGTGGCATCACAGCTCACAGCAACCTCAAACTCTTAGGCTTAAGCAATTCTCTTGCCTCAGCCTCCCAAGTAGTTAGGACAACAGGTGCTCGCCACAATACCCGGCTATTTTTTGCTGTAGTTGTCATTGTTGTTTAGCTGGCCCAGGCCGGGATCGAATCCACCACCCTCGGTGTATGTGGCTGGTGCCGTACCACTGTGCTATGGGTGTCAAGCCTGGTAATAAACTTTATGTCCATAAATAAGAGAAGGGAACAACAATTGTGGTATACTCATATAATGAAATGGAAAGAATAAACTGCTCTACTGCATAAATTAATCTCAAAAATATTATGTTGAATAAAAGTCATCAGATACAGGGAGTATATATTGTATGATTCCACTATATAAAATTCAAAGCAAGCAAAACTAACCTATGGGCCTAAAAATTAGAACAGCAACTTCTTCTGTTTATATCCTATTATGTTGGCTTTATGGTGGATGATGTAGGCAATTCTACGCCTATTCAGATTACAAAAGAGGTTAAAATTAGGTGCTCTGACCATCACCACTTACCAGCCAGGTGACATTGGGCAAGTGTCTGAACCTCTCTGAGACTTAGTTTCCTCATTTAGTAAGTGGATGAGGAAGTGAGGGGATGAAGGGAATAGCACCCACCTCAAAGCACATCAGCAAGGTGCAAATGAGTAGGCTCCTGTAAAGCACTTAGCCATATGCAAGCAGCCTAGGTTTGAATCCCAGAAAGGGAAGTTCCCCTCAGCCTTAGGAGTAGGGTTAGGCTTTGGGGTGGAGCTTGGCAGGGTTGGGGGCAGGGGGAGTAGGCAGGCCCAGGGACGGCTCCTTGGGGGAAAAAGATGAGTAAGACACACTAAACTGAGCCCTGGCGTCAGCCACCTCTGTGCCCTCCATTAACTGCCCTGTGGACCCCAATCCCTGCTTTGCTATCAAACCATCCCTCCTTCCCCTCCCTTTTTCCATGTACCTAATTCCTGAAGCTGGGGAGGGAATGCGGATAGGAGCTGGGAATTAACAGCGGCAGATTAGAGATGGGGGGGGGGGTCTTTAACCTGTTAACCCTTCCCTTGCCCTTGCCAGCACATCCTTTAAATCAGTGCGAAGGGAGGAGGCCTCCAGAAACCTCCCTGCCTGCCGCCCCCGCAGAGAACCCTGAAAGAAAGGGTTAGAGGCTTTAGGCTTGCTGGCTGACCTAAGGAAGGTGAGTTCCCCTCTCTAAATCTCACTTGTTTCTTCTGCAATATGTAAAGAGGAATGTGTAAAGGAATAAGAAAATCTCAGCGCCTAAGGAGACGGGACACTGTGAATGCTCCTGAGATGGCTGAGAGACATAGCATGTGCCTAATACTTACTGGGCACCTACTATGTAGGTAGAGCTGTTGTCATCACCCTAACCCTGGTATCCTCCCTGGAGAAGCAGGTAACTCCCAAAGGGGAAATCCTGGACCCCTAGGAGGGAGAACTAGGGTCGTCGTAGGCAGGACGATAATGCAACCTCCCTTCACCCTCTAGGCCTCCCAACCTCCCCCAACAACCCCAACCTCCCCAGCTGCGCCAGACGCAGAGCTGGAGGGGAGGGGGCGGCGCGTACTCTGCGGCTGTCAAAGGAGGGGAGACTGCGGAGCGCGCGGGGGATGGAGGGGGGCGCGCTGCAGCAACCCGTCCCAACCGGCAGCAGCTCCTGAGGCAGGGGCGGGGGCACTGACCCACCTCGGCCCGGCCTCTCCCCCGCTGCGGAGGCTTGGCCATTAATCCCGACCGGGGTAGGGGGCGCCTACTCTCCTCCGCAAGGGGCTGTTCCTAGGTCTGTCGTCCTCGGTGTTGGAGTCTGTGTCCCAGTCTGTTCTGTCTCCACGCTGTGCGTGTGTGTAACTGCGTGTATCCATGACACCTGCAGTCATGGTCCAGGACAGCTGGCAGAGGGGTCCTGGGGGTCTATGAGTGGGTCAGTCCGAGGTCCGAGGTGTCAGTCTGTGTGAGTCTCTGGGTGACACGCCGCAGATTGTGAATGTGCATCTGTACTGGCCTCCTGTAGGAGGTGTGTGTCCGGAACACCCCACCGGTCCTAAGTGTGGGTCCTCGTGTGTCTCGGTAACACCCACAGGTTGTGTGTCAGTAGAGCGCTTCAGGCGCTGGGTCTGCCCGCGTCAGTGTGCGGTGTGTGTCCGCGTGTGTAGTCGAAGAGGCCTGGCCCTCCTGTGTCCCCGAGTCGCTTGCGTGTGTGTGTGTGTGTGTGAGCGAGCGCGCGCGCGCCGTGGCGAAGGTGGATCCGCTCCCTCCGCAGCCAGCGGGGCCAGGGCCCGACGACCCGAAGCCGCCAGAGCCGCTGGCCCGGCCGCTCCTCGCGCGGGCCGGGCCAGGGATGGAGCCGCAGCCGGAGCCGCCGCAGCCAGAGCCGCGGCTCGGAGCAGCCTGAGGCGCGGGCGGCGCGCGGGACTTGGGGGGAGGGCGGGCCGAGGGGAGGGTCCTGCGGGCCGGGGGGGCGGGCGCGGCGCGCCCCCTCCCTCGCGCGCTCGCTCCCTCCCCCGCGCGCCCTCCCTCGCCGCCTCCACCCGCCGCCTCCGGCCCCCCCTCACCGGGGACCGAGCGCGCTCGCTCCGGCGCCGGCCTCGCCTCCTCGCAGCAGCGCCATGGTACGTCGCCGCCCCCACTTTCGTTTTCGCCCGGGGACTTTTTGGGGTGGTACGTGGGCTCCAGGCGAAAGTTGCGAGGTCTGGGGGGCAAGAGGCGGGGGCCGTCTGGAGGAGGGGCTAGATGCAGGGACCCCCCCCCTCGCCCATAGCCGCGGGACCCCCACCCACGATCCCCCCTCTGGCTGGGGGCGGAGCTGGCGCGCGGGGCTCAGCGGGAGACCCCAAGTGGGGGGCCCCTTGCGGGCTCTGCGGAGTTAGCGGGGAGGGCGGGGCTCTCGGGAGAAGGCCCCCCCATAACCCGGCCCCCCGCCCCCTCCCCGGGCCGGGCCAGACCTGAAGCGGCGGGAGGGCGCGGTCCCGGGAGCAGGACCCCCGAGCGCGCAGCCCGCTGGGGAGCCTGGGCCAAATGGGGGCGTCCAGCGGGGCTGCATGGGGCAGGGTTCGCAGCGGCCCCCGTGGGGTGCCCCGGCCCGGGCTAGCTCGGCGCGCCAGCTAGCGGAAAATGGCCGCTGCAGAGAGGGGCGGAGAGCGCGCCGCGGCCGCCGCCGGGCGCCTTGAACTTGGAGCCTGGCGGGCGGCTGAGCTCGGCGCCGCGCAGGGGCACCCGCCGGGCCTGCCCTCCCCTCCAGCCTCCCCGGTTCCGCCCCCCGGCCGACCCCAGACCCATCGTGGCTAGCTCTGGGTCCTAGCCCGGAGGGATCACCGGGTCTCCGCCCGGCGCGCCTCAGGCCCGTCAGCTGCAGTGGGTACACTTGGGGGTTCGGGTGTTCGCTCTGCTGGCAGCAGTGTCGTCCGCACCTGGAGGGGTGCGTGTGGGTCCCCTGTGGTCCCAAAAGGGGCAGCACCGGAATCTGCGGGAGCGTCCTGGGTCGGTGCGGCTGGGTGGTCCCGTACCTGTCCGTGGGTCCTGGCGCGTCGTGTCCTCCTTTATGTGTTGGTGTGTGTCTGCTTATCCACGTGGTTGTGTGTGTTGTGTGTGGGTTAAAGCATTGTGTGGCTGTGGGACAGTGTTGTCTGTTTTGAATAACTGGGAGACTTTGCGGTGCGTCCCTGCAGGGTGGTGTTGTGAAACTGTGTGTCTGTGTTGTAAGTCTCCGGGGCCGTGTGTCCCTGGGTGACCGTGGAATGTCCCCATGTGAGTGTGTGGCTGTCGGGGATTGCCAATGAGTAGAGTACTGTGTCGGTTCTCCATGGGACATTTGGGTGTCGCTATGTGCGTGTGACTCTAGCTCCGAGTATCCCTGGGGATGGGTCTACATCCCACCCCGACTCCTACCCTCTCCCTGGCTTTGCCCCCGCTTTCCTTTTTTTCCTGTTACCCCGGCTGCTGGCTGGGGGTCAGGCACTTTCTCTACCTTTACAAAGCTGTCTCTTCGTCTCATCCCCCTGCTCCCTGGCCCTTCCACTTCCCCCATCTTCGGGGTACCCCGAGGTGGTCAGGGCTTGAGGTTCAGGCGCGAGGTGGCGCCGGGATGCGATCACTGGCGCAGACGTCGCTCGCCAGGGGCTGCGCTTGCGCGGGGACCTGCCCCAGGGGGCGGGGCAGCGGGGGTCCTCCCTCTCTCCGCGGCCGTGGAAGTCCCGAGGAGTAGGTGGTTGCAGAAGCACAGGTCAAGCCTTGGGGGTGGCCAAGGAGACCCGTCTTACTCCCTATTCTGGAGAGACCAGAGGGGCATCTGGACTCGTCCGCAGCCCTACTCCTGCACTTGCCCTGGAATGGACCAGTCGGGGCGGGCACAGAGTTGTTGTCTCTTCTCCAGGGGAATGCCCGCCTCACCCCACCCCGTGTGTTTGATATAATTTTATAAATATGAAAACCCGAAGGCCAACCTAGAGTCTACTTTTTTCTTGTAACCCCTATCCCATTTCGGGGGTCTTTTGGGGAAGGGATGAAGAACCAGTCCCCACAGGGACACATAACACAAAACACTGGGAGTCACACTGGAGTTATGGCCACCCTCTGCACCTGCTTCCAGCCTCACTCACACATTCCCATTGCATTCCTGGGCAGTGGACTGCCCTGGCCTTGAGGACACAGCACCCCTCCACCCCTGCCTGTGCACAGCAGGACGAGTGCATATAGTTAGGCTGAAGGCACCCACCCCAACAACCTCATGTACAGGTGTCTGCATAACTTTACACAGACAGGTGCACACACGAATGCCCACTGATGCACACAGACCCAGGAAGACCCAGGCATGACTACACAGACACAGGCATCTGCACCACATCCTTCTCCCTTTCCAAGTCCTTGCAGGGTATGTGAGGGGAAGAGCCCAGCTCTGGGGAGGGTTGGTGGAGACAGCCATGGTGAGAGGAGCATGGTTTGTGTGCCTGTGTGTGGATGCTGTGAGGGTCCCACTTCTAGGTGTATGTGTGTTTGTAAGTGTGTGTGGTTGTTTGAAAGGGTGGATGTAGTGGTGGATGAGTCTGTGTATTCATACCTGTGTGTGCACTTGTGTGATGGCAGTGTGTCAAGTCATCTTTTGGGGAATTGTGAGGGTGTTGTGTTTGTGGCCATGTGTCCATGTGGCTGAGTCTGTATGTCTGTGTTTTGTTGGTTCGGGGTTGTTTGAGCCTGTGTGTCCATGTGTTTATGCCCACTCCTCTCTGAGGAGATGTTTGAGGCCAAGTCTCTGTATGTGTGAGTCTGTTTTTATGTGAGTCTCTGTGTGTGTTTGTGTCTCTCTATATGTGTCTAAATGTGTTTGTGTGTCTTATAGGGTCTCTGTATCTGTTTCAGTCTGTGTGATGTTTGTATATTTGTCTGTTTGTGTCTGTGTGATTGATGTATGATGCGTATGTCTCTATGTGGTTGTGGTGTGTGTATCTCTGCCAGCCCCAGTGTCATAGCTAACCTTTATCTCTCTTGCCCCTCCTAGAGCCTTGGTTTCTCATCTGTAAAATGGAGACCAAACAAGACCACCTGCAAGGGCTGCAGGGAGGTGGTATTGGCACCACCATGCATGTACTAGGGGCTTAGCACATGGGCTGGCCCAGTGCACACTGCACTGTGTCTATGTAAATGTTTCCCTACATCCTTGCCTCCTTTTTTCTCTGGATACAGTAGCTTTGGTGTTACTCTGAGGGGAGGGAGAACTAGCCTCCCTGCCTGAGCTGCTGTGTGAATTACACTCACTTTTCAGAAGTTTCATTTCAATTACATGAGCCATTGGTGAACATATGAAGAGGAAACAAAAATATCCCAAGGAAAAAAAAATGCACCCCACTCCATGGTCGTTACCATCCAGAGCGTTGTCAGAGCATTTGCACAAGTAACAGATACATATCCGTTTAGAGGATACATGTATATTCTTACAAAGGATACAGTATCTGTATTTTCATAAAGGATACATGTATATTTTCATAAATACTTGTGTACTCTTTTAAAAATTCTAAATGAGGTCTTGAGTTTCCTTACAGAGTCTACAACAGTGCGTTTCAACCAGGAGTGATTCTGTCCCCAGGGAATGTCTGACACTATCTAAAGACATTTGTAGTTGACATGACTGGGAAGTGGAGGAACTCCTGGCATGAAGTAGGTAGAGGCCAGGGACGCTGCTCAGCACCCTGCAGTGCCCAGGATGGCCCTACCCAGAAAATGATCTGTTTCCAAATATCCACAGTGCCAAGAGTAGGAAACTTGCTTTCCTCTTGGGTGTCTCTTGGTGGCCCCTCCACTTGGAAGTCTTGTTTTATCCACCTGCATTGTATTCCAGCCTGTGCCCATGCCAGGATTACAGCATTGGCCCCTCACAGGTGGACATGGTAGATGCTTCCAAATAGTTGGCATTAATGTTACTGAGTAGTGGTCAACCCTTTTGTATCTGGGACAATTATAGCAGAGCCTAAGTGTGAATCAATTGTAGGGAAGATACTCCAAAGTGCCAGGAGCTGAATCACACACCCACCTTCTGGGCTCTACACACATGTACATACACACACACACACACACACACACACAGAGATCCAAATCCACCAACTGTTTTTTAAAGAAACTACTATGCATAGGGCATTGCAATAACCATAATTCAGGTAATTTTCACTCAAAACCCAGAGGGTTTCCAGCTGCCATCATCCTTTTTTTTTTGAGGCAGAGTCTCACTTTGTTGCCCTCAGTAGAGTGCTATGGTGTCATAGCTCACAGCAACCTCAAACTCTTGGACTCAAGCAATCCACCTGCCTCAGCCTCCCACGTAGCTGGGACTACAGGTGCCTGCCACAACACCTGGCTATTTTTAAAGACGAGGTCTCACTCTAGCTCAGGCTGGTCTGGAAATCCTGAGCTCAGGAAACCCACCCACCTCGGCCTCCCAGAGTGCTACATCATGTTGGCATTGAGAGGTTAAGCTGCTGGCTGGAGGAAGCAGAGCCAGCAGCAACCCTACATCACAACTGCCCTGCTCTGTGCATTTAGTGCACTACTGTGTATGCTGCGAGGCCCCCTCCTACTCAACTGGGATAGTTGTCTCTGCTGATGCACTTGCAGAAGAGTCTACCAGCTGCCACCACCACCAGTAATATTAACACACCCTGCATACATCATGCTGTCTAAAGGACTCCAATCTTCCCAGTCTTCCAAGGTGCTTTCTATAGTCATTACCATTTTTACAGATGAGAAAACTAAGGTTCCTAGAGAGACAATCTGTGCTGTCTCAAATTTACCTTTAAAAGGAATTCTAGTGTGAAAGGATCCTAAACTGCCCATTGAAAGTTACAGGCAATGGAGGTGGGCATGGAATCTGGGGTGGGGGAGGGTTTCAGCAGGCAAGGAGAATGTCCTGAAGTCAAGTTCAATTTTTAAATGTTTTAAATGTGAATTTTAGATTTTACCTTATATGTGTTCATAGCATGCTTTAATAAAATACTGCTTTATGTTATGTTGGCATTCAGATACCCAGACATCCTCCTACTTATTCATCGTGAGGATTCATGTATGTTTGTATTTATTTATTTACTTACTTATTTAGACAAAGTCTCACTCTGGTGCCCAGGCTAGA